CTGAATATGTCATTCTCGACTCAAACGAGGCACGTCAAATAAGAAAGGAAAAAATGTACAGGCAGCCGTGTTTCGCAACAACCAGGTTGCTACGTAGGTAATCGGCAGTGGCCGAATGTTGTAAAGGCAGTGAAAATTAAAGAAGTAATCATAAGGAATAAAGTCATTAATGGAGGATGAGGCCTTGGGTTCAAGTATGCGTAGTGTAAACCGTCAAGTCATTATAAATGTATTAACAACAGTAGATGACGACAGAGATTAACCTTCTTGTACGCTTTAAGGAACTATGGAAAATGACTCTGATCGACTTGCTGGTATGTGGTTGTGGACAGTAGGTTTATTCAGTGGTGAGTCACTCCGGCACATTGCAGTGTGGTTAAACGGACATCTGTGGCTTTTTATAGAGAGAAAGTATGCCAGGCGAAAACCTACGACGTCTTGGAACACCGCCGTCAACCATTTCAGACACTAATGTACAATTGGTTAAATGGTTTCCCGACTACGTGCACATGCGGTTGTATGCTGTCCCATGACTCCCAATTTCCTCCGTTGACTGATCAGATAGCTTGGTCAGCGCCGCCATAATCGCTGAGGCCGGTTGAGGATGGGAGCGTCACGAAGAGCCGTATTGTTGATCGTCCTGGTAAGCGGCAACTTCAATTACTGGTGTCTGTACAGTTCAGCTTATGTATACATTAAGGGAGTGTAAGAGCATCGCGTCCAGCTAGCAACACCGGACAACGTCGTGGTGGCTGGTGTAGTTGCAGACTTTTTGTGTACGGGCATGGTCCAGGTAGGTCCTTGTCGAGTATTTCCTCGGGTTCGGGCGCACAGGCTGTTCCTTAGTCCAATCCCAGGGCCCCAAGAAGTTCCGGACCTCGGAGAAAAGATAAAGTGAGGGGCAACCCTAAGATGGCCACAAAGAACAGGCGTGGAATTAAGCATAGTTAATGTCCTATGTTATAACATTTAGATTGGTGACAAAATGATGTACAATCTGCAACAACGTTTACGCTGAAAGTGTTTTTGAACTGCTACAAACACGAGGGTCGTATGGATAGAGTGCTGTTACCTACGTATAGAACAAGGGCGTTGTACCAGTAAGCAATCCACGTAGTATCAGATTACCATGAGGCGAATATTGCGTGAGAAGAGTGGAAAAATATTTCTAGGCCTGGCGGCAAGTATATGGTGCTTGAACAGCGGGTAGTCAGCCTAATTTGATGGAGTGCGGAATAGGTAAGCATTAATATAAATAGCTTGCGAAGATACAAGTTCAATTGTCAGTTGGTTGTAAAGCAGCGAAAATATAGGGCTCCAGCGTTTAGAAATATTCAGGGGATCTAGACATATAAAGATGCTAAATGGGTGCTAATAGCATGGTACCACGGCCGAGTGAGTTGAGAAACACCAGTGAGCGAGCTGGACGCCTACTCGAGAAAGTATTAAAAAGATTGCTGCGAGGCAACAAAACAGAACACCTACAAAGTACCGGGTAAGTAGCGGCTGTGTGTTAAATTGGATAAGAAGACGTTTATCGACAGAAAAAGCGGAAAAAGCATAGTTGAATGACAGCAATGTGCGGAACGAATATAAATTGTGGTTGTTGAGGACGTCACAAAATTGGGATATCAGTACAGGGTCACCCAAAGACACAAGTTATGCTAAGGTGTTAAGGGAATAGTGCCCAGAAGCTTGAGCCGGGAACGGCAAGTGTGAGCGCTAGTAACCCACCCGAGTAGTTGTCAAAAATGTTGCAGCAAGTGCTGGATAAATTAACTTCTAGAAAATAGTGGCTCCTGAGCAGCTGTGCGCGGATGTGCCCCGGCACTCAATGAAGGCACTGACTCCTACCAAGGGTTGGCCAGTCGTCCGATACCAAGTTTCACATGTTCTGGGCATATACCCGCTCTCATGCAACTACACCCACATGTTTGAACAGGGACATGCCAATAGGCCTAAAATATTTTCACAGGTTTTTCCTCATGCTACACTCAAATGACCTGCAGTGTGTACACAAACTCTTCGTATCCTTTCCTCATCAACACACACTCTATTCCATTGTTCCCTGCACCGGTTCTCCCTACATCTACGCTGTGTACCAGTGTGCCTATGCAATTCTGCTTATTCCTGCAGAGGCGTGGTCTGGTACCTTCCAGGAGTAATTTCATTCATTCTTTGAGCCATATGGGCCCAAAGAACTGACTACACCTGATTACCCCTGCACTTGGACCTGCAGAGTATGTTATTATGTACAACTACGCATTTTTCTGCTCCTGCCAAATACGCGTGTCTCGCTTTGTCTTGAATACAATATTTATTTAGTTATTTGTTATTTTTCCTTAACACTAGAGCGTTAAGAAAGGTTGCACGATGTAAGGATAGCGAACGGGAGGAGCGCAAGCATACATTAAGGTTGTTAGATATGTTAATGCATAAGAGACTAAAACGCGACTGCGCGCAAGTACTAAAGTCCCGCTAGGGGGCAAAGGGAATAGTGCCATAGTAGGCTGAGTCGGGAAAAGTCAATGAGAGAGCTTGATTTGTACATGAACAAGTGTCGAAGATGTTACAGGGAGTAAGGGAAGATGATGCATCAAGGAAGGTGCGACTGAAAAATCTTCAACAGTGACTGGCAATTTGCTTACTTGTTTTGATAAGGAGGATAGTGGAATTAATAGTTGTTGGCGACGTATTGATGACCCAATCTTCACGTTTATATTAACTTTCCGTAAATTACCATTTCTTGATGGCAATTCAGACAGCTTGAGATCCCTGCTCTAGATCGTGTATTGCAAGAATTAAAGAAATATAAACGTTTCTTAAGCTTGCAAGTTTCTGTTAGGAAGTGAATGAGGAAGTTACCGGAATGAGCTCGCCTGGGTAAACACCCAACACAGTAGATTGCATATGTCGTACAGGGGATCCCAATTCTCTGGTTCTATTGAGATAATAGCCGGTGGTGAAGACACTAGAAGACATGCCGACTACGGAACAGCAGCAACAGAGTGGCAACCGGATCTAACGTTTATTAAGAAAGGTTAAAATTTATGGAGAAACAGCAGTAAGAGTAAAGAAGTACGATACACGCGGTGTACCAAACAGCAGATATGTGGCGAGGGACATTCGGTAAAACAAGCTTACAATGCAAAGGTGGAAACATCAACAAAATGCGATAGAAGGAACAGCTGGGTTAATGTTTGAGGTTCGCTACACTCTTCAGCTGAGTAAAGACTTGGGCCGTATAGGGAGTATTTGACGGCATACGCCTTGGTCCAATGATCCACTAACAACGCATAACAGCGTTAGCGAGGATGGGTGCTGGAATATCAGACGTTAACACAGAAAAAATGACATAGATCCACGGTTTCATAAACTAAAACTTCCATCCTACTGAGAATAGTATGCGGGACTGAACAGCAGAATTCAACTAGTCTCATACACTTTACCGTTGCCTTCTCCAGGTCGACAGCTAGCAGCAGCATCAAATGTAATAGTAACATAACTAAGCAATTCATCCTATTTCAATAATTAAATTGCGAACGAATTTTCTGGTATTTTACGAAGCCTGCCGCCTAGTTGAACTTTGACATAAGTGCTTGAGTAGTGCCGTTATTGTGGTTAAGTCAAACTCCCTTCAGCAGTAGCTACCCAGTAGATCATGGAAGCGATTATTTTTTAATCCCACCATACACTATTGAGCTAGCGAACAATAGGTGTGGAAGAAGGCTGCAAGAATTATTTTCCCAAGTTAATGGTTAATAAGCCGTTCATTCAGAAGCTAAACGTGAGATGTCTTTGTGAGATCGTTCTCAGCTTTCGTCCGGGGGTTACGGAGACAGATATACTCCGATCAGCAACATAGTTTTTTAATGCATTCAATGCGCTACCACTGAAACATTAAGCCTGACGTATCGTATCTTAACTTGGAGGGCTGGTCAGCTTGTTCTTGGCTATTAAGTCCCTTTATATGGCTCTTACGCAGCGGTCATTCCATGCACCTGGACAAACAGTGGTCCGATCGGATAAGGGTGAAATTACTGCTGTTACGCTGTGCTATCAAGGCAGGGAACATGCATTCAAATAGCGGTATCAGGAAATCGATAGTTTAGGAATTTGAGGATCAACTTGACTCACTTGGGTGTCGACACGAACGCGCTCACGTTTACTGGATAACTTGCATCTTCATACTTCGATTTTCTTTTCGAAGCATTCCTTCGTGCATTCATATTATTCCCTTATTCAAAGTGCACTTCCCTATACTGTACCTTTGCTTCCTATTCACACGAATGCCACAACAAAGGCTGTTAGTGCAGGAAACCAGGCCTTATTTGGATGAGCAGGGTGTGATGCGGGTTTTCAGTTTTGGATCCAACAAGAGCTCCGAGCACCTGAACAAGTCCTGGCTCAACGATTCACTCGTGAAAGAATACTCAGTTTATTATGGTGTCGTTCCAGTCCCACTTGAATGTGAACTTAAAATTATCCGTGAACTTCATCTGCAGTCTACCGTTGTCACGCATACATGCCCCTGAGTTCGTGCATATATTAAATGCGGACTAGTTAGTGCTTGTGGAATGGTGGACAACCTTGTATAAATACAGGTTTTACTAACACAACTGTAGATTGGCGGGTAAATTTTGGAATGCACGTTGTGTGATTGGATTGCGACGCTCAATCTCAAAGTGGACCGCGGCTCACCTTGAAGTGAAGCATAGTCACTGCGATCACTGGGACCGTAGTCAAAGTACCATCTGATGAGATGAACTGACATGGAAACGCGTCGTGGTGGTGCAGTGTTTGCGGGCGGGCAGCACCCAACTTCCATCTACAGTTGTAGATTTCTTTTGCATTAAGAGGCCCAGTAATAAAAACAATCAGCGGTTACGCATGATAAAAATTTACTGCGTCAACAAGTTTTAATACTCGTGTCTATGTTAGCTGATAAAGTTTTACTTACGGAGTGTTGTTCAATTCTTTTGTTGTTTTATTGTTTTAACATTGACCTCTGCAGGGACAGTTTTTATGTGCAACATCAAAATGGGAAAAAGCAAGAAATGCAGATGTGATGATAGTTCAAGCAGCTGTGACAGCGATAGCTCTTTTGAAAAGTTGTGCCGAAAAGATCCTTTAAAGCTGCACATTAAAAGATTAAAATTGGAGCGCAAGATGATTAAGGTAGTTCATGGTCTTGCATTAGTTTACAAAAATAACGTTTAAGAAAAACCGATGCGTTTGTGGATACTGCCCACCTGGGAACCTGGCTTGTTCTGAAAACTTTATCAAAAAATATAGAGTATGTCCGGGTATTGCCTTTAGTAAAGTGCTGATGATAGTGACGCATAGATGTGGTCTAATTATTGCTATTTATACTCTTTTCTTGCTTTACAACCTGTGCATTTGTGCTTTTGTTGTACAGCTAAACCATATCAGCTTGTAACATGTAGCGCAGAAATTGTCTTTACGGTTGTTCCATGAAACGCGTTTGTGCTTCTTCTATTGTTAACACTAGAACAAAGACCTAAAGCTGCGATTTCATTGATAGATATAAATATCTGAGCAGACAAGCGTTTTGCATGTCAAATTGCATGTCGTATTCTATTTGTTGTATTTCTGCCGTTAGTGTTTTTTAACAGACACACCAAGTCTTTTTGGTTCCACCGAAACTTGCCACCAGTCATTATCATTCTTCTTAGCTGCCCTTGACTATACCATCAGCTGACATTTTTAGGGTTTGTTTGCTCGGACTCTCAACCGTTTTGCTTTTAAACTAGTCTGACAGAACTGTTTATTCGGCTTTGTAACCTGTCGGACATCAGTTACTTGTTGCCGGCATTTGTTATTTGTCGGAACTCCGGGATTAATTTGAAAACAGAACTACTGTACAGTGTGATGAACACTTTAAAAAACACCGTAGCGCACTACCAGCTATGACTTTCGGGTTGATCCGGGAGTCTTATATGTTGTTTGCATTCATCGCCGATTTGACGGTAACAGTGTTTGACAATACAGGATTGCTTGGTGTATGTACGGAGCTTGGACGATGCCGTCAGAAAGCAAGTCATCACGAAAGAACGCTGGGAATTTTATCGAAAATCGGCAATTTAAAGCCTTTATTGTTACCGCCGGTCATGTTAATTCCACTCTATTTGGTCGGTTAGTTGTAGGACTTGTGACAGTATTAGTGTTATTATGGACTCCGATGCCCTGAAGATTACACCGACACTAACAGAACAGAAGCAAAAACAGTTGACGTCTGAAGCAGAAGTGGAGCGTTATAGCCACTTACTGCTGGGCAGGACAGAGCTTTTTTACCGGTTGGCAGAGCCATGTGGTGACGCAAAAGCATGTTGCGGATGACATAGTACTAATAACGAAGGCTATCGAGCTACCCCAAATGATTACAAACTCTTGCTGTTTTCCCTGATCAGCCCTTTGGGATCGGTTGACAATTGGACGTTTCCTAGGTGGAACTTCAATATTTTGACATTAATCCTGCCATGTGTTTGAGGTTTATGAAGCAATCGGAGTAATCCGTTGAGAAGCGGGTTTGGGATAATGGACAATGATTCGTATGTTTGTTGTACTACTGTCAAAGTCTGGCCAAGGATGCTAGTAGCGTGTGTGTTAATGTGCCTCAAGCCAAGACATAAAGTTGAGCTAGAACGCTGTTTTGCTCAGAATTTGTGGTCGCCAGATCACTTATGGATGCATTACTAACGGATCTAAGGCTGCTTGTCCAAGATGCCGAAGCTATTTCTCGTCTCTCTCTAAAGATGGAGAATTATCACATAGCACTGAACCAGATGGGGTTTCTTGCTGACCTAGATTCGATTGCAACCGTTGAAAGGATTGTACAGATCTTGCTTACGGGTATGCAAACAAGCTGGGCGCGTACAATTATGCAAGAAGGAAGATAAACCTGGTTCAAAGACCTGCATGACTTCGTTTCTGCTGAAGCTCGTATTATGCGCAGTAGATTTGGTCAAATAACATCTACTCCTGAGCTAGGCCCGTCTTGTTCCCGAGGTCCGCCCATCCCGGTACGCAGAAGGAATTAGGCTAGCAACAACCATTGTGATAAATTCAGCTTGCTTGTTTGCGGTGACCAACATGATATTACGATATGTTAAGAATTTCCAGCTTCCAGAGTGCCTGCGAGATAGCAATCAATAAACAAGAAGTAAGGATGCTTCAAATTTCTCGGCAGGGGTCATTTGGCTCCTTTTGCACATCAGATGACAGGTGTAACCACTCGGGTTTCAGGGGGTCGTCATCACCCACTACTATACCTCGAGCGCAGTTAAGACCCAAGGTTAAAATGGAGCAACTGTCGTACCGCTTCTTGCTCAAGAAAGGAAATATGACTGCGTACATGTGCATCTACAGGGTGCTCTGAGATCTATTGAAAATTAAACCTTCCTGGATAGTGGGTCAGATATAAAATGGGTACAGACAGATTAGTTACGTGAAGTTGGAATAGAGTTTTCACCTGAATCGTTAGAAATTAGGACGTTAGCTGGTACCTTGTTGATTGACGCAGGCTCTTTTGTTTTCCAGTTGTGCTCATTGCGTGGTTATGCTATGCTTCATGTCCCACATATCCATTGCGTACAAACTTTCATTTTACCACCAGCCAAAGTCCTTACTAAAACTGTAATTTGTCGCTGGCCACACCTCAAGAGTATACAGTTCAGTGAGATCCGATCTAACCATGTGCAAAGTTTAATTGCAGCTGATGTGCCTGCGGCCCATTGGCACTTAGAACAACGTCCCGGTAGGATGATTCAGACTTTTGCACTAAGTGGCCCACTTGGATGGACATTGGTTGGGCCAGTAGAACTTGAAACAATTCATTTGTCTCGGTCAGTCATGCTCAGTGTGATTCACAATCCATGGGGGGTCAACTTGGATCTCTATATGAGAGTGAGTTTGCCAGCTTTGCTTCCTAAGATCGTGCTCGGAATGAGGGTTTAAGCGTGTATATTGCGGCCGCACGAGCGGAGTGTGGGGAGGGGGTTACAGTCGCGCATTGATATTTATGTCCTTGATGGTGCATGGAGTGAGGTTGGATTGATTTGGTCCAGTAGACATATGGACCTAGCGTCGAAGGGACGTGCAGCCGTGTCGGCCTCGTGACTTCCGAGAAACGTGGTGTGCGAGTCGGTCCCATGCTCATCATTTACATTGATGCGATTACCTTGTGGTGTTGATTCGGATTTGGATGCGAGTGCGATTGTGTCAGTGATTAGTGTGCATGACTGGGCCCCATCCTCAAACTACGTGAAACATATGATCAGTCAAACGGATGAGGAAGCAGCGATTGTTATTGTGTGCAAGCATGCGCAAACAGAGGCGGATTTGAAATGTCGGTTGCAGGATGAGTTGACTAGTCTTCAACTGGAGCACCTTTACCTGAGAGAAACTTGTAAGGGGGCGCGTACCTCGAATACTAAGAGTGAGTTGGTGGCTGGCTTGCTTTGTGCTGCGGTGGGTGAGTTGGCGATTGATATTGGTGTGAAGGCGTCTGCTTTGAGTGATGCAGATGATGCCGGTGCTCGTGTTAGTTTTGCTGTAAATGTCTTGCATGATGGAGTGGTGCGCGAGTCACGGCTGGTTGTAGACAACTTGGCTGCTGGTGGCATGCTGTTGTCATTACCTTCACCGATGGTTAGAACCCGTGGGGAGGATGTGGATGAGAAATGTGGATCTGCTATGTCGGATGATTCGTGGGCGTGGGACGACTTTGGGAGACGGAGCAAAGACCGGATGGTGTGTTAACTGGGGATCATGACGTAGTTGTGCAGCGTGACACTGTCGTTAGCTGGACGTGCAATGGGGTCGGATACATCGTCGGGACCGACATCAGAGAATGCGAGTGAGTCATATGGTAGTGTAGTGCGTACATCGGAAGCGGTGTTAGATGGTACTAGTTTGTGTTTGTTTGAAGCAGGAGAGTTAGGTTCAGTGGAGACAGGTTTATTGGCGGAGTTAGAGGAGATGGAGCTGTTGGAGTGAATGAAGCCTGAGTTACAGGCGGTGCTTTTGTAGCCGTCAGTTGGTTTACCGTGGCCGATTTTTGGTAAAAGCGCTGTGGATTCAATGGATGCGAAAACGTTGTTGGGTGAATTGTTGTGCCAGTTGGCTGAGGTTCGTGCAAACTATGTGGACGGGTTATTGGAGCGTGCATTATTGGACCCGAGGTTGCGTGATGCAATGTGTAAGTTGTGCGTTTTCCGTGCTTAGTTGTGAAACTAGACTTGGAGTCCAAGCGTTGGCGGTCATTAGGGTTGTCGGAGTTGGATTAATGTGTGTGTACTGTGGATTCTTTGGTGGAGGCATCGCAGATGTGGTATAGTGAGAGCGCATCCGGGTTGATGGAGATAGAGTCGCTGGTGTGGAATTTGCTGGTGGAATTTCATGTTTATTGTGCACCCGTGTGCGTTTTGGAAGGTTTAGAGGGTCGCCTGTACCAGGAGCCCAGAGAGCGATTCAAGAAGACAGATCGAGTTGCAGGGAAACTTTTATTGGTACAGTAAAATCTTTTCCGTTACCTAGCTATAAAAGAACGACACCGTGGACGCTCTAGCTAGGGGAACGGAGCAAGCACAGCGCACAGGGCAGTCGCGAGTTGCAACCGAAGCGAGCGCCAAGCAAAAATGGCGATGAGCATGTCAAGCATTTGAACTCAGCGATCAGTTTAACAAACCACACCGGTTGGCTAGGTGTACAATGAAATAATTTTAGTTAGAATTTTACATAGGCAAACCGGGGAATATCCAGACTGCTACAAAGGCTCGCTGAGCAAAGAATTATGTGCGCTGCGGTCGCAGCACAAGCGTGTGTATGAGGCTGTGGCGTCGAGTGAAGCGATGAAGGTGAATGTGTTGCGCCTTGACTGCGGCGCCTGGTCGCATGAGCGAATTGAGTTCGGAAAAGGAAGAATTGCATACAGAAAGTTTCGACTGCTCAACTGCCTTCGCGGAAGCTTCTTCTCTTTTGTTAATGCTCTGTCCCTGTTTAGTTTCTTCTGTTGTTTGTTGCAGTTGACATTTGGGCTTTACTGGTAATGATGCCGTGCCTCGTTTGGAATCCGTACCTTTTCACCCTCGTAAATGGTCGTTGACTAGAGCACTCTGTTGTCTTCTTCCTGTCGTCCGTCCGTCGAACATTGAGATCGTTACACCTGCAGTCTGTGATGATTTTGCGGATGTCACCCGTCTTTCTAAGATTTGGTTTTTTCTGTTTGGCATTGCTTCTAAGTTAGAAATCTTAGCGGGATAAGAACAGTCAAGCAATGAGCAATTTCTGGAAAAAATTTGATGGGTGAATGTAACATACAAACCACAGTTTGTTGGATTCCGCTGAAACATGTCACTATTCTCTAGATATTCCCTTGTTCTTAGCTACCCCCGACCCTCCCAACATCTGACAATTTTACAGTTTAATTGTTTGAATTATCGACCATTTTGCTTTAAATCGCACCTGTCCGAACTGCTTATTCGGCTTTGTAACCGGTCGTACATTAGTAGGCAACGCTAAAGCATCTGTGAGTGCGCAACCGACAGGTTGCCGCTCAAAATCCTTTTCGCCCGCTCTTGTCCCAGTGAGACACATCTGTGCCTAAATTCGGTGACAGAATTATTCATTGTAGCCTTACTGCTTCTTTATTGCGAAGTTATTATATAAGAATCGAGTTACGTAGTGTGAATGTATGGTAGGTTCGGAGACACAATAGAATCGGGCTCCAACCAAGCTAGTATCCACTCGTAGTAAGAACACCCGAATTGGAATTCGAATTTCGATGGTGTATATTCTAAGTCAATTGTTGAGAAAGAATTACAGGAATCAACTATAGAATATCGTATATACCATCATCACCTCCTTCTCAGCTTGAAGGCAACTCCAGGTTTTATGTTGCAAACATGCGGATCTTCTTGGAGGCTGACTCTGCTTAGAACTCTCATGAGCATCTGAAACTGAATTGTCATTAGTATTTTCAGTGCACTCAGAATCAAATGACAGCTTCTCGGAATCCTTGTATCGTACCTGATCAACATGTCATTTATGTACAACACAGTCATCGAGATCCAGAACTGTAACCAGACAACTTCCGAGTTTGTCAACAATAATTCCTGGATGAGGAATATAAATCATTGGCTATAAAATAATATACTTCCTCGGTTTCCAAAATAAGAATGTTCGCCGTCCATGGTCTGGTTTTGCCCAGTTTAGCTGGTGTATCTTTAATGGTAGAATGCACCCAGTTACGGTACTTAAGAAGGAAGTTAACAACACAGCGATCACGTTCATCAAAACAAGTAGGAGCACAGGAGGTAACAGGTTTTAAACTTGCAACCAACTTTCATCTAGGCCAGTAGAGCACAGATGTCGTGAAGCAGTAAAAAGGTGCCGACGCTCAAGGCTCTCAGCCAGTTGGTAACAACTGAAGCTGAAAAGTGTGAGCCATTGTCACTTACAACAGCAAATGGCACTCCTTCCCTACTAAACACTTTTCTAAAGGCACATGGATAGTAAAATAGGCATTTAGTTTATCAGTCAGGAATACTTCCGGCTACTTTGAATAAGCATCCACAACCATAACTACTTCTGCATAAATGGTCCGCATTAATCCAAAGGTCTCCTTTGCCAGGGCTCGCATGTCATCGGCCACGGTGTACACTTGGACGGCAGCTGTAGAATCTTGTGCTCACTGTTCGGTCAATCAGTTGCAGTTCATCGAATAGCTGCAGGTAATTCCGGTCACCAGCACAAGCATCGAGCTAAGGAGCATCTTTTCAGTACCAAGATGACCAGAGTGTAAATCCATCAGAACAGTTGATCTCATAGTCGGCGGAATAACGACACGGCAATCCATCAGCTGTAACACAAAAATCATCACGGCGCACACAATACTGGAAAACCGTTTTAGAGCAACGGACCATCCTCGTTTGAGAGCAGAAATCAATGACCCGTAATGCATTCTAGTCTCCTTGTGAAGGGTTGTACGAGAGATTGGAAGCGGCTGGATGAGGAAACAACTAATTTTAGAATCGGCTTCGAGTACCGTTACCTTTCGCGATAAGCAGTCGACGAGCGGAATAAACTTTGCACTTCTGTGCTCAACCACTTATTCGTACGCGCTAAGAACAACACTCCACCTTTGAACCATAGCTGCTGATGATTTATCTAAAGAACTGTCTGGGTTGTACTTGAATTTTAGTGCTTCACCATCCGTCACAATGGTAGATCTGAGACCAAAAAAGATTTGTGGAGTGTAGTGACTGCCCAGTATACAGCCACAGCTTTTCCATGAGTCTGAGTGGAGCCCTTTTCAGCATTGCTGAGTCTAGGCCAGTCACCAGATTTCTTGGGGACCATCTGCAGGGGAGAGGATCAAACGCTGTAGGAAGGCTAGATTATTCCAAGTTTGAGCACGTGTTCAAACTCCGCACTAGCTAACTTTGGTTCCTCAGGCGATAGTCGGCGTTGACGGCATGGGACGGGAGGACCATTCATCCGTATGTAATGTGGGTCTTGGGATGCCACAGGCTAGGCTGCCTTCATTGGCTGAATGAGCTTGGAGTGCTGGGAAATGAGGTTGGACTACTCTAGCGCGGTCTGTGGAAGGGATTAGACCGGTGTTATCGATGTGATACCGGCGGTACACAGAGTTTTGTTGCAGTGTGGACAATCATCTGGCGTTTCGCATCGACCAAGAGATCGAAAAGCCTGAGAAGCTCAATGCGCATGATAGCAAAGGGGACTGCAGCGACGGTGAATATTCAGCGGCACACGTGCCGAAGACCTAGATCCAGGGTAAGCAACCGATGATTATAGGTGGTTATTGGCGTGAAATGGGCGGCAATAAGCCTTGTCCACAAAGAAACGATAGGCATACCTAGCATAGGGGACATGACGCCGACTTCGGCCTTGGTATCAGGTAAGAACTAGGTCGCGGGATCATAATCCCTAATGTAGATGTGACGACTTTGGGCTTTGCTGACACCGTTAGTTGCCATTACGGGCCGACCGGAAAGTTTCCTGTTTCATGGCGGAGAAGCTGCATGGTTTATGGCACTTACGGGCTTTGTTATCGGAACAGAAGTGTTAAATGCTAACGTCTGAATTGTTACGCTTCGTGTGGCGGGATGCTGAGCTAGAGCGGCTGAGCTGTTTACTGTCTAGGGCGTTTCGCGACTTCGTGTTGTAGAGAGGCTATTTGCAATGATATAGTGTCGATTGCTGATGGAGCAATAGTCGCGGATATCACTGGGGCTGCGACAGCACAGAACTGCTTGAGTGCTTTGGTTTTAGTCTCTGACTGGTGCCGTTCGATGACGCGGTCTTCTAGACCTTCAATTGCTGTTAGTGGCATGGCTACTGCAAGGTTGGCCTGACTGTATTCAGGAACGCGTTGCATCCACAGCTCTCGGAAAATCCTTACGTCCATGTTAGACTGCCGAGGAGGCGTTACATTTCGCGTAACAACGCTGGGTGCATCCTACTTCCTAGTTGCAGATTACTAAATAGTTGCTGAAGACAGACCTCGTCAGGAGGCGTGATTTGCTGAATAATAGCCTATTTAAAAGTCTTGTATTTCATTACAGCAAAGGGGCAAGTGATGATGTCTCTCTCCTGCGAGAGAATATACTCTGAGGTAGGCGAGATCTTGGTTTCTCATATATTACGAGATCAGAAGCAATTCTACGAATGTACTAAACGGATGCTAGGTGTAAAAGCTATAACGAAGGATTATTCTTCCAAAAAGATAGAGAGGTTAATGCAACCGAACTGACCATGACAGGTCCAACGGCGCTAACCACGTATGGAGATGGTTCAGCCTCTATATAATCCGTTGCAAAAAGCGAATAAAAAGTGTGGTAGGTGAGAACGCAATAAGTTTACAAGTAATGAATCAGAAAAGCACTGGAACGAGCACACCAGCATGAAAATTCGAAATGGCGGACGGCGTGTTCTGGAGCGGGGTCACAAATTGTTGGGGGAGCCTTGGATACTAGTCAGTAATCAATGACACGTAAGAGCCGTGTCAACTACGGGACATAAAATTTGGAGGCGACTGAACCCAAAGTGTGTTGTGCAGACTACAAGAATAGGAAGCGAATCAACCGGAACGAGCAACGATGCAGCAAGATACTCACCGAAACAATTTGTGTCAACGGAAGTGCCGCCAGTAAAACAAGTGGACGTGTTGAAGCTTCAAACAACGGTAAACTCCATTGTTGCAAAATGCTGAAAGAACTTGTTATCCGGCACACTACAATCGTCGTCTGTATAATGAGCCTGAATACGTTGGTTTTAATTTAATCTTACACGGATCTCAGAGTTAGTTATTACGATTGCGTTAACTAGGCGAATTATATCTCCCGCACATTTTTGGATACTTATATCTTACTAAATTCCGAGATAGATGCATCTACTGGATAAAACGAACATTTGATATCTACCCGTGTCAGTAACATATCGTTTTTAACAGTACTACTGAAGGATGCATAACATACGCACACATGTTATTTCGTCAAAAATAAAAATGGTCAGGTAAGACTTAAGCATACTGTTTAACAACTATTCACACACACTCGAAACAAGCATATTTGATTATTTGTAAATCGTTTGCTATATGTCTTAACGTTAGTGTTCCTAGCAAAATTATCTAGATAACCAGGGCCTGCCGTATTTGAGACTGAGACTGAGACTGTATTTAATAGCAAGTATAAAGGTTTCTGTACAACTCTATCGAATTACGAAAAATCAAAATTTACTTGTGAATTATCAGCAGTTGTGTCTGATCCGTTAATCGTTTATCCGTGTTCGGTTAGAAATTTGTACTAGCGTCATTATTTCCGGACACTGTATGTGCATCGTATCACAGAAGCACAGGTTTCCAAAATAATCGTCGATACGGGTTTTAAAACACTTCACAGAATCGGCCTCTATTAATCCTTCAGGTAGTGTATTCCATGAGTTTACGATTCTTCGTTCGATACAAAGCTGATGTGATACTTTTTTCATGCTGGGGACCCTGAGTTTGTAACGATGTCCTCGGGTGTTACAGGGTTCTCGCAGGTGAAATATTGGCCGCAGTATGGGGAAGTGATTCAAGTGTGGTACTCGATGGGTCATAATAAGATCAATTCTTACTCGGCGATAGGATAGTGTGTAGAGTCCGAGCCTTTCACAACGTTTTTCATACGGCAGCTTTCGTAGACTTGGTATCATTCTAGTTGCGATATGCTGTATTTTCTCCAGCTTTTCAGTTTCCCATTGGGTTATGGGATGGTAAGCTGGGGCACCGTATTCAAGGATTGGTCTAATGAGCGAGGTGAATAGACGAGGGATGGTTTCTTCGGACCATGTGGAGAAACTGCGTCTTAATGCCCAGAGCATACGAAGTCCCGCACGGTACAATTTCTCTGTATTTTCTAGTGATCTCAAATCATGTCGTGAGAGAACTCCTAAGTCTCTGACAGATGTGTTGGGATGTAGCAACTGGCCGTCCAAGGTGTATGATCGAGTGGCTGGACGTCTGGTGATACTGATGAACTCCGACTTGCTTTCGTTAGGAGGGAGTTGCATTTCAGTGGACCACGTTAACCTTCGCTCTAAGTCATGCTGGAGGCGAGCGCAGTCGTCCTGGTTTTCAATGATCTTCCAGATTTTCAAATCATCTGCAAACAGGGCACATGGTGACTGGAGCTGCTGCGGAAGATCGTTGATATGAATAAGAAATAATACTGGCCCAAGTACAGTTCCTTGAGGCACGCCACTGGTCGATGGGAACCATTCTGTCAGATAGTCATTGACCTGTACTCTAAACCTTCGTCCCACAATAAACTCTTGTATCCACTGAAGTAACGTGCCACCGATTCCGTATGTCCTCAGTTTACGAAGGAGTACCTCGTGGTTCACTCTGCCAAACGCCTTACTAAAGTAGATGTACAACACGTCAACATCCTTCTGTTTATTGAGAGCTCGAACCTACTGGTGGTTTGAGTACATCAAGTTGGTGATGCAGGATCGCCCTTTCGTTAAGCCGTGTTGCGCTGGCGTCAATACGTCCATCGATTCGAAGAACGACAGCAGACACTTTTTCACAACCTTCTCGAGAACTTTGGATAATACCGAAGTCAAACAGATCGGTCTATAGTTCTCTATTTTACTCGGATCACCACCCTTGGGAAGCGATTTAACTATCGAGCATTTCCAGTCATTCGAGACGGATGCTCCTTTGATAAACAATACGGAAAGAAGAAGTTAAAGAAATATGGTTATAACCTACTACTTGGTCATAAATATATGTAATACAAATTTCCAACCCAAAATTAG